GAACCTCAGAATGTATCTGACAAGACCGTCGGGGGTCCCAAAGATAGAAAAAGTATGGCGATCACGCGCTCACCTTCCAACAGCTGTTCCCTAGCCTTAACGGCTTGCGAGGACGGTGCACACAGTCGCAGAGGTGGGCTCCCTCGCCGACTGTGGGTGGGATCACCGCAGATTCGGCGTTACCAGCAACGGGCGGCACCAACGATGACGTCTGACGGCAGGGAGTGCGCCGGCGCTGCTGCGGCAGCAGGTGCAGCCGGCAATGGCGATTGGTCACGGTTGTGGGGGAGGCGGCTCGGCAGACGCAGCAGGGGGCGCGAGCCTGGAAACGATCGGCCCGCATCACGCCCCGACCCGTTGGCGCCGCGCGAGCGAATGGGCGTCCGAGGAGGCCGCCTGGTTTTGCGCACAAGAACGTCCCGCAGTTGTTTTAGGCAATGACTGGGACGAGTGGAGCCATTCCCAAAGCTGAGTTTGTCTTGGCCGGAGGATGAGAAGAAATCATTGGGAGTTCGAAAAAAGAGAACAGGCAGCCGCGGAGGTTCTGACGGTGGATGAGTGAGCGACGCCTGGCTCCCCAGAAGCGGAAGCCGGAGGGGGGCAATCGGCGGAGGCTGCATTGCCGGTGACAGCGAACACACCAGGGGGCGAAACGACCGGCGACTGAACAAGGGGAACGGGCTCCGGGGCCGGCATCACCATGTGCGGCCCAAATCATCAAAACTGTCTAAAGTCCACATCCGTCAAAGGCGCGTGTGGCAACTCGTCTTGCCGCTCACTTGGGGCAAGCCACCCTCAAGCTGATGTTCAGCGTGGAGCAAGGGTGGTGGCTTGGCCCGCACTCCCGAGTGAGGAAACCGCCCGTAGGATCATCGACCGCAATGCCGGTGGGGCCGTGTTTATCCTCCTCGGTCGAATGCGAAGGGAACCACCAACGAAAATCCGCATTGGCGTTGGCAGCACCTATACGGTACATAGGGGTGTAGTTGAACGAGGAGAGGAACTCAAGTGTTGCACGCGGGTATTGCGTTCGACCGCTTGACGATGGTTTCCAAGGCCTTGTGATCTGAAAAAACAAAACGGTGCATGCACCACATAATAACCCCGCAAACGTTATGTCGCCCACACGATACTTCCGGCTTCCAAGGCCAAAACAGCCATTTTGCGCTCAGCTTCCAGCGTAATGCGGCTCACGAGAATAATGGGGCGGACGGATCCATCGGCCTGTTCTTGTTCGAGCTCCGCTCCAAATCCATCTACACAAGCGTCAGCACAGAGAAGAGGGCGGCTACCATGCGCGACAGCGCCACAACCCGGGAAAAAGTCGTGAACCGAAGGTTCCGCAGGAGGTTTGTTGGAATACAAAGAATCCAGCCGGGGCGGCGGCCCAGCATCTGATTGGACTGGAGGCGCAGGATCATCGGACCCAGCAACAGCCGCAGCCTGCGCCGTTTGGTCAATCGACGCAAGTGGACTCTGTACAAGAGGAGCAGGTGCCACTTCAAGCACGTCACCAGGCTCTAGCTCGACACATCCGGCCAAGGGGATGAATGGAAACACGTCCAAGAACGAACGCGTCCGACGCCGAAAGAGGGCCATGCTTCGGCAAAACCGTGACAAGATAGCTGCCAGTGAGAGCGGGAGTGCCGGTTGCGAGCTAGGTTCTCCTCCGTTCAAGTGGGCATATCGGAACGAGAGACACCCTGCCTGGTGGCGTATCGCAGGAAGTAAGATAGAGAGGAGGGTCCAGCGACATCAGCGGAAGCCCCCACCGCAATTATCCGACGACAGAGAAAGTGTCTCCATACTGCGTCCACTCGTAGACCGCGTAGGCAGAGTAGCGGACAAGCGAGAGTTCAAAGGCAGGGTATGACCCATGGCGTCGGCGAGGATCACCGCAAAAGCATTGGACCAATAGCCGCAAAGGAGGAGGTGGTTTCAAGGGTAGGGCCAGAGCCGAAACCACCCCGCTGCCGAGCGGGCATCGTACGACGGCTAATGACAGATGCAGCTCCTGACGCCTCCATGTCTTCACGAAAAGCATCGTTAGTACAGGACGACGGTGAGCCCGAGCCCAAAAGGCCCACCCTAAATAGGCGCGGTACACACTGCGACCGGCACGACTGTGCACGTGCACACGCGCAGTAGAGGCGCAATCGAACAAAACGTCACCGCTCACCCAATCTTGGAAATGTTCCGCCAACGACAGCAGCGGGGAAGTGGCGGCAGTGACAAAAGCGGTGGATGCAATGAAAACGCTGCTCCACAGATGTGTCCGCCGGCACATCCAAAGGGCAATGTACGTCCGAGGAAGAAGGGTCATTCGACAAAAACCCCGTCCCCTTCACCTGGAGGCGCAATTTCATGAATGATTAAGCTCACGTGGGGCGGGATTCCCGAGTGCTCCGGTCGCAAACGCTTGCCGGGTTCGACCGTGCGCGAGCGCAGAAGCGTGCCAGCCGCGGCAAGCGCCGTGCCCGAGAGGTTCAAACCAGGCCACCGAGAAGGAGATATCATGGACAAACAACGTGGACGGTGCCTCCTCCGTCGACGGCGCAGCGGTGTGAGGCAGCAGTGAGCTGTACGGTTGCAAGGTGCCGGGGGAGCGAAAGCTACTTCTGCTGTGATCGGATTCTCATGTGACATCGGCATCGGTCACGGCTGCCGACCAAGGCCCAAGAAAGACGTCGGCAACGGATGCGCGGTCAAACTCATCGACACCCCGCTGCTGCCGAGTAGGCTCGGTGCGATGTCCTCTACGTCCGTCGCGATGGCGTCCATGGAAGCGGGCATCCTAAACAGTGAAAGATTGTCACGGAAGCTCCTACTACAAGCTTCCATTGAAAGCTGGACTCGGATGATATACTTCCATGGAAGCTAGGGGGATACAGCTTCCATAGCCCCTGACGACGACTTCCATGGACACTGACAGAGGCGGACGCCTTCCATGGAAGCTGCCTTCGAAAGATTCCATGGAAGTCGCTCATCTTGACTTTCATGGAAGCTGGACTCTCGGGAGATACACTTCTACTTCTATGGAAGCTGCAAAACCTTTGGTTTCCATGGAAGCTCAAAAAACGACTTCCATGAAAGCTAGTCGACTTCCACTAGCTTCCCGTGGAAGCCGCTCGTAAACCTCCCTTAACTTCCAAGGAAGTCACTTGGCGAGCTTCTATGGAAGTCACACTCACCCGGCTTCCATGGAAGTTGCGTCCACCTCCATGGAAGTAACACATATTATTAAATAATGTAGGAGATCACGGGGGGGGGGGGGGGGG